GATTTAGGGATCTATGCTTCCTCGGTGGCTCTTATGCTTTTTCTGCCTCTTCTTCTGCAGGGTCCCCTGATCTCCGAGGGCAGGGATTTGATGATGACATCCTATTTAGGGCTGAGTGTTCCAAGGTCTCTCACTCTCTGCGTAATGTCTGACTGTGGGTTTGTGTATTTTTTTTCCCATCTGCTGTAGGAGGAAGCTTCTCTGATGATGGCTGAACAGGGCACTGATCTATGAGTATGAGAGAATGTTATTAGGAGTCATTTTATTGCTACTTTTTTTTTTTTTCCTGAACAGTAGTATTTGGTTTTATCCTAGGTTGCCAAGCTCTGGTCTCCCACTTGGTGTCCCATCTTGTGGAAGGGGCCTCAAGCCAGATATTGGCTGGTCACTCCCACAAGCTTTGTGCCACACCAATGCACCAACATGTCTTGCAGGCGGGTCACTATTGTAGATCCAAGGGTTTGTGACCGGGTTGGTTTACATTGCTCCTTTGATAGCATGCAGAGTTCCAAAAACACTAGCATGTAGGGGTGAAGGCTCTACATAGGCACCAGCTTGACTTCTCTACATTTGGTGAGTTGTGTAGATGTTGTCTTCAGCAATGGGGTCTTGCCATCAGTTTGTGAGGAGCAACCTATAGTTTTAGCAACAACCTGGGTTGTTTGGGAGCCCCTTTGTTCAACAACTCAATTACCTGTAACCCAGTCACGGCACTGGGTACTTCATTTGGTGAAAAGAGATATCCACCTGGGACTCTGTCTCGCCCATTATTTGACAATTTCATTTACATTGCTTTCATATGTGCATATATTTTAGGAAGCTTCTATTGTATTAGGCTTCCATACTACCCCTAAATGGCCCTTAAATTCAGCTGTCTCTCCCTCTACTCCCTCCCTTGTCCCTGCTCTTCCCTTCCCCTCCCCACTTGATCTGCCCGTTCCAGTCCCTCCTCCATTCATCCATAGCTCTCTATTCTATTTCCCTTTCCCAGGGAGATCTATCTGCCCCTCCTAGTCCCTTACTCTATACCCAACCTCTGTGCTTCTATGAATTGTAATTTGGTTATCATTGAGTTAATGGCTAATATCTACATATAAGCAAATACATACCATATTTGTCTTTCTGGGTCTGGGTTACCTCACTCGGGATGACTTTTCTAGTTCTATTCATTTACTCATGGTTTCATTTTTTTGATGGCTGAATAACATTCCTTTGGTGAAATGTACCACATTTTCTTTACCCAGAACCGATCATTTTCAATGAACAGAAATCATTTGCCTTTTAATAGGGCAAAACCCAACTGAGTAACCTATCCCTTTAGGGTAGATTCTGAGGATATTAGCATGAGCAAGTTTAATGCTATTGGCAATTTGTTGTCTGTTGAGATAACATGTTCAGTATTAGATATGATAGATGAATGGAATGAATTTTTTACTTTTCTTCAGTCACAACTAAGAATAGGTTTTGAAACAAAAAAAAACATTTGAGACAGTATCTTCTGTTGTTTTGGGCTAGTCTGAGACCTTGACACAGTAAACAGTCTGAGCGAAGTTCTCTCCCTCCTGTGACCTTCAGGTGGCCTTTGTTCTTTTGTGACATTAAAATGAGGCTTGGCCTTATGTCCATGTTTTTGTGACAGGATTCCGTGTAGCCCAAGAAGGTCCCTAATTCACTATGTGGCCATGCTCACCTTGGACTTGGTTCTCCTGCCTCCATTACCTGCATGCAGGATTATAGGCTGGGTCCATCACACTCAGCCTACAACTTTTCTTTTTCTTTCTTCTTTTTTTTTGTTTTTTGTTTTTTGTTTTTTGTTTTTCGAGACAGGGTTTCTCTGTGTAGCTTTGGAGCCAGGGCAACTCGCTCTGTAGACCAGGCTGGCCTTAAACTCATGGAGATTCGCCTGCCTCTGCCCCCCAAGTGCTGGGATTAAAGGCGTGAGCCACCAGCCAGCCAACTTTTCTTATTTATTAATTTTTGTGCAGGGATGGCATTTGCTAGGCAAGCCTGAGCTACACACCCTGCTCTGCTCTGTCCATACTTTTAACACACCCATAGAAAACCATTCCCTGTCCAAATTGTCAATATGACTTCTATTGAATCTTTAAATATTCTCACTATTCTAAAACTGCAGCTGGTGTGCTCTGTTCTGCCTGCTGTGGTTCCCTCCCTGTATCAGTGAGTTTTTGGAAGGTCTTTACAAGCCTCTTTGTGGGCACAGATTGGCATGCTTGCTGGTCCTTAGCCCTAGATTCCTAACAATCCTAGGCCAGGTAAGGTGGCATCAAGGACAGCCATGAAACACTAAGGGGGCACTGGAAGGAAAGAGCAGCACCCACCCCCAGATCCCAAGACAGCAGAAGATCCTACTGTTCATGTCATGTACCATGGGCCAAGAGACTTACTTGCCTTCCTCTTCTGATTGCTCTTGGTTTATTTTTTAATTTTTATTTTGGGTGCGGGGTTTACCTGAGTGTGGGCACATGTGCGTGCGGTGCACACATGTGGTGTACTCATGGGCTTGTTTTGTACCGTGGAGTGAGGCCAAAGGTTGACACAGGGTGTTTTCCTTGATTGCCCTCCAATTTATTTACAGAGGCAGGGTCTCTTGCTGAAGCAGAGCTTCCAATTCAGCGAATCTAGCCAGTTTGTCTCGGGACTCCCTGTTCGGGATCACCATGCCCAGCAGGGTGTTTACCTGGGTGCCAGGGATCTGAACTCCATTGCTTATGCTCCACTGAACCATCTCTCCATGTCAATGTTTGTCTGAGACAGATTTTCATGAATTGTATAGTCCAGATTGGCCTGGGACTTGCAATCATCCTGCCTCAGGCTCCTGAGTGCTGGGAGTGACATGCCACCCCACCTGGCTTGTCTGTAGACCTTCATGTGTGACAACTGGAAATACTTTTGAACTTATACTTTCACTTTTCTTCCCCCATACAAATGCTAATTACATAACACACGGGTTTCTCAAATCACTGATATGCATATTCATGAGCCCTGTGGCCTCCTGCTTGCTGAGGCAGCTATTGAAGCCTGCCTTCATTATTCTGAGAAATCAAATTAAACCTATGCTAGCACAGGAAAGCAGATTCTGAGATGTTCAGGAGGAAACACTGGCAGATCTGTAGCAGTTATTCTCAAGACAAAAGCCAGGTCTAGCTTGTTCATTGTCAGTGTAGCGGCATACAAAGCATTCATCATATCTTGGCTTTGTCTGGGTGCCTGGCTTCAGCTGACTCTGTGAAGCCATCAAGGGCAGAACAGGCCCTTCACATTCTCAGTAGGGGACCTGGCAGAGGGGGAGATGCTAGAGTCAGAGTTCCCGGCCTAAATGCCTAAATAGTCCAGGGACCTGAAAGCATTCTTTGCAAACAATTGAGCGAATGGCTGGCTCTGCCTCTTTCTAGGCAGATAACTTTGGGCAGGCTAGCTCTTCAATAGTGTTCTTCAGGGGAGATGCTGGGAGATAGGATAAAAAAAAAATTCCCAGTAAATCACACATGGGAAAGAGATGGAGGGTCAGAATTCATAAATGTAGACAGTTCTTGAGGAGTAAGGGTACACTGTTGGGATTTCGAGAGATGTTCACCAAAAAGCGAACTGTTTGACTAAGGATAAGGATGCACAATGTCACATGTTAATGGCCTTCTTCACTAAACTTTATCCCTGACGCTGCTTTCCTCTGTTACTGTCAGTTATCTATTTTATTTTAGTCTCACTTCTGCACATGAAAGAAAGCTTGTGAAGCTTGTCTTTCTGTATCTGGCTTATCTTGCTTAAGGCAGTGACATCTGGTACCATCTACTGTCCTGAAATGACACGATTTCATTCTGCTTTTTGGCTGCATGAAACCCTACTATGTATTTCTTTATTCATTCTTCTGTTGGCAGATACCTAGGCTGATTCCATCGCTTGGCTATTGTGACGAGTCTGAGGGCATTTTTATTAATGTAAGAATACTAAGCTGGGCAGAGTGATGCACACTGCTATGCCAGCACTCTGGAGGTTAAAAGTTCAAAGTCATCTTTGGCTATGTAGCAAGCTTCAGGAAATATTTTCTTTAAACAAACAAACAAACAAATACTATTGTGATAGGAAAAGGAAAAGGGCATTAATTGCAGAAAATTCAGAAAACATGGCAGTGAGTCAGGAAAGGGAAGACAGAAGTCATCTGTAATATTCCCACACAGGAAAGCCACCCTTCACCATTTCATTTCCTTCTGATAGTTAATCTATGGCTACGAGTGTTTGTGTGCATACGTATATATATGTGTATGTATATACTTAAAAATAAACTTTGTACCCTCTTCAGTGCATCTCACTAACTGCTTGAAGCCATGGGGAGGGAAATGAGATTTCCAGAAATGTGTCTTTTCAAATGGAAAATGTTCTTCCTCTATTATTAAATAAGGAAGCAGTGTGTTTGCTCATTTGCTTTTTTTTTTTTTTTCCGTATGTGTGAGCCACAGAACATGCTCGATTCGTGCCTTTTCCGAATCTGTGAGGTGTGCCCTTTCTTTATACTAAGTTTGCTTGCTTGTGTTTTCTGATTTTTCTCTAGTGGGATCATGTTACTTTTGGTCTTAGTTGCAAGAAGTAACAAAAGTCTACAAAAGGAGTTTTAGGAGAGCCAGGACTGTTACACAGAGAAACCCTGTCTCAAAACACACACACACACACACACACACACACACACACACACACACACACACACACAAACAAACAAAAAACTAGAAACACTCCTATAAGAAAAGTATGTAACATTCGTAACATGGGCTATGTATACTATCTCCTATTTTCACTTCAAATTCTTTGATTCATATTGAAACACTCCTATAAGAAAAGTATGTAACATTCGTAACATGGTGGCTATGTATACTATCTCCTATTTTCACTTCAAATTCTTTGATTCATATTTTCTTTAAGATAAAACAATGCAAAGATTGTACTTCAAGTGTCTGTCACTCAACCATCGTTCTTTTCTCTCCTGGCAGGATGTGCTGGGTGGTGTGCTGATCACTGCCTTCCTCATCGCCCTCACCTACCCTGCCTGGACCCTCATCGACTCCCTGGACTCAGCCAGCCCCCTCTTCCCTGTGTGTGTTATAGTTGTGCCATTTTTCTTGTGCTACAACTACCCTGTGTCAGACTACTACAGCCCAACCAGGGCGGACACCACCACCATCGTGGCTGCCGGGGCTGGGGTCACCCTTGGATTCTGGATCAACCACTTCTTTCAGCTGGTGGCTCAGCCCACCCCAACCTTTCCTGTAATTCGGAGCATCCCAGCCCTCACCACGGACATGCTGGTTTTGGGTCTGACCAAATTTATGGTGGGAATTGTGTTGATCGTCTTGGTTCGTCAACTTGTACAAAACCTCTCGCTGCAAGTGTTATTCTCATGGTTCAAGGTGGTGACGAGGAACAAGGAGGCCAGGCGAAGACTGGAGATTGAAGTCCCTTACAAGTTTGTCACCTACACGTCTGTTGGCCTCTGTGCCACGACTTTTGTGCCAATGTTGCACAGGTTTTTGGGATTGCTCTGAGTCCCAAACAGATGGAAACTAGTCCATGAGTGTGAGAGGCAAACTGTGAGAAAGCGGTCTGTTGGGGCAATCTCAACCCCACCAGTTTAAGGACATCTTAAGTCATATTTTTGTTTTGCTAATGTAACATAGATGCTACTGTTGTGGCACCAGCAGTGAGATTGGTCTGGAAGGGTTGTGCTTCCATTAACCCCAGCCTGAAACCACACCTGACTTTGTCAGGTCACATCTCCCCTTGCTGTTACATGGACTCAGGAGCCAGTCGTGAGTGGACAGGAATTGTGGCCTGACTTGGAATGGCTGCAAGCCCTGCTGGGCTCTAGAGAGCCAACAAACAGACTTGACGTAATATGGAGGCAGAACACTTCTTTTCAGATACAACCTTGCCTAATGCCTAGTCTCATTCCCCAAACTGGAATTCAGTGGCACCAAAGAAAATTGCGCTCCTTGGACAGAGTGACATCTTGGGCTGTAATCGGATGAACTGTGCCTGAGTGGGAGTCGAGAGCATTCTGGAATAAAGTTTCCTGTGAAGAGACTGCAGACAGTAGTAGAGCTAAGAGGCCACCATGAAGAGCTTGCTTTCTTTACCAGCCCATCTCCTCCAGGCATTGTTAGTGAAGCAAGAACCTGATCTTCCTTGCATATATTTTGCAGCATCCCAGGTTTCAATGTCTGCACTAGTCTGAGCCACACATGGTAGGCTGCTACCTCCTCACAGGTGGAAACGAGGGCACTATGGGACTCCTGCTCTCTCCTGCTTGGTCTTCAGAACTTCAGTTGTTTAAGCTTCCATATAAACTTAGAAGGCACTGGAGCAGCACAACAATGGATGAGCTTCGTCCTCTGGAAGCCTGACCAAAAGATGCTAGGCACCCTAGACATTGCCTCATCCTCTTGATGTTACCTCATCATTGCTCAGCTACTTCCTATAGTTGTTTTTTTTTTTTTTTTTTTTTTTTTTTTTTTTTTTCTTTTTTCGCTAAGCAGAATCTGGGACTCCCTCTCAGTCTTCCCACCTCTTTTCTCTTGGCAATTTTAAGGGCCATTAATGCAAGAACAACTTCAGCCTATTTTTGGAAAATAAGCCAATTAATTCTAACACCCATTAAACCTAGAGTGGGCTTTCTTAGATTTAGGGTGGTTTTTATGATGACAACAGCAAAGAGCTCCTCCCCTGGACTCCTCTTCAGAATAAAGATCAGGATGGTTCCAACCCATCCTGGAAAGTGGGTTCGATTGCATAGTAATCGTTCTTTTGAGGGATGGTGCCACTGAAACCAGTGTTACAGGATCCTAACACCTCATCACTATCTACACACACTGGACAAAATTAAAACCCCTTAAAAGTTATGGAGGCTCAGACTTTTGCATTCAGTGTGAAAACCAAGACCAATATTTTCTCTGATTTTAAGTATGCCCCATGGCCTATGTTCGAATGATTTTCTTTGGTACTGAACACAGTATTTTAATCTCTCAAGAATAATTCTTGGCTGGGTGTGGCACATGCCTTTAATTCCAGCACTCGGGGAGGCAGAGGCAGGTGGATGCTGGGTGTGGTGGCACATGCCTTTAATTCCAGCACTCGGGGAGGCAGAGGCAGGTGGATCTCTGGAATTTGAGGTCAGCCTGATTCACCACAGATGGAGTTCTAGGACATCCAGGGCTACCTACACAGAGAAACCCTGTCTTGAAAACACAAACACACAAACAAAAAGAACAATTCTTAACAAAATGCCCATTTTTAACTTAACAATTCTTCTCTCATTTACCATAGTTAAGAACAGGGATTAAAATGACCCACCATTTGCCTAGTTTTTCTATGAGGGTATTTCATCTCCCTGGTTGGGGTGTTGAAAGCCCTGGCCTACAGGTTCTCTTGCCTGTTCTCAAGGGCATAGCTGTTGATGAGGTTCCTTTCCTCCTCCCTCACCCGCTTGTAATACTGGCTGATATTCTCATGGGATGATTTTAGTTGGTTTGTCTGAAGCCTAGGGACAAAAGGCTCAGCTTCCTCGAGTGTATCTTTGTAAAAGAAGGGCTGTATCTATTTTCACAGTGGTGGGTGTGGGTGGTTAAGAAGTTTAAATCCCAACAACAGGGAAGCTGACAACTGTATGGGTGGGTGCACTTAAAATTCTGTTTACATAATTTAGATGGAGGATGAATATATTAGCCACAGAACATTAAACAGTGGCCCAAGACTTTGTCATGACCGATCAATCTCTGATGTAACTGATAATCACAAAAGGAGGGAGAAATTATTTATTGGAGATGCCAAGCTTTGTTTTGGATTCCCATAGCATTGGTTTTAAAAGCTATTGCTTGGTCACATTTTTGCCTTTGTTGATCCCTCTTAATTCACTTCATTCACGCTCCTCAGAAAGCACCTCACCTTCAGTAAATTTTCTTTCAAAATACTTGGATTTTCTCTCTGGGGGAAGACTGCCCCCTGCTGGTTAAGATCTAGTCTTAGGCGAAACGCCCTCTTGATCTGGGCAACTGTCACCCTCACTAGAATGTGTCCACTTTGTAAGCCTAGGCTAACCTTGACACCAAAGCTTTTAGGTATACTGACCACTCTCGGACTCGGGAAGAATAACATACCTTTTTCCCATCTTGCTTCTACTTCAGGCCAAGGCATCCATCTAGAACCTGCCTTCTGAATTAGCGTCATTTTTGTGTCATCTTTGCTCAGACCTGTACCCTAGCTGAATATGCTGGAAAGAGACATTGGCGAGACCCTTAAACTAATACCCTTTGATGGAAGTCACTAAACCTACTCCACACTGTGCCTGATAAAGGGATTTTCTTGCCCAAATACACAACTCATCTTCCCAGGGTAATCACAGCATGTGGTATTTTAGACCATGTGTTTCAGGTTTCTATTTTGGAAGCCTTCAGCTGTCTCGCTTATGCACTGTATGTAAATTTATTCTTTTTAAAATAAAATCTTTTTTGTTTGACTGTGATTGTTAGATGCTTTAAAATCTAATGTACTGTTTCTATGGATTTTCTTTTTCCTTTTTTGAGTCAAGGTCTCATTCTATAACCCAGATTGGCCTAGAGTTCACTATGTAGTCCCAGCTGGTCTTTATAACACATGCTAATTCTCCTGCCTCATTCTCTCAGGTGCAGGAATTATGGTTGTGATCAGCTCTTCCCAGGTAGTTTTTTCTTAATTTGGGTTTCTTCCTTGGGTTTGTTGGACCCAAAGTGAAGCGAGTGGAGAAAACTCAGTAACAAGCTGTAGAATTTTCTGCTGCCAGAATCCATCTGCATGCAAATACTGGTCAGCTTCACAGAGGCTACAGATTTGTCTAACAGGAAATAAGTGTGTCAGGGTGGTATGCTTATGTCCTTCTAACTCCGTGATAATGAGAGTCCTTTTATTGTGTGGAGATAGATGCCACTCACGGTGTTTGAAAGTGCTGAAGTAAGTTATGTGTAAGGACACATGTGAGGCTGTGTTTGTGCTGTGACCAGGATATACTTGTCACTCATACTTGCTGGGTACCTAAGGGATGTAAAGCTCCAATCTGTGCTGTGGAGTTCTCCCAGGTCAGAGAAGTCACAGGCTCGGAGAACTTAAAAAGTCAAGATCTGAAGTGTCATGGTTGTGTGGAAAAGACCAGGCCATGTAATAGGGCAGGGAAAGAAAAGGAAGACTTTCTAGAGACTATTACAGGAGGCAGGCTTAAAGAAGAGACCAGGCTGGCTCAGCAGTGGGGTGTCAAGGTACAAGATACAGCTGGATGGGGGCACTTCCCCCAGACCAAGTCACTAAATAAGAATCAGGTGATGGATTTGGTGACTTCACAGGCTCCTTCTAGCATCCTCACTCAAATACTTCAGTTTGCCCTGGATACCTTTTCCCCTACACCTCCGAACCATCCAGGTCCCCTTGTTTGTTAAAACAAACAAACAAACAAAAAGCAGCTGTGTGTCCCTTGCGCATACCACAACTACTCTTCAGAAATTGTTTGTAAATCACCACACTGTGACCAGGCCTCTCCCGGGAACCCCTCATTCAAACAAACAGCAGCTGTGTGTCCCTTGCGCATACCACAACTACTCTTCAGAAACAGTTTGTAAATCACCACACTGTGACCAGGCCTCTCCCGGGAACCCCTCATTATCTTCCATCTCTCTGATGACTGCACCCATTTCTCCAGCACCAGTCACATGGACCACTTCATTTTAGACAGCGTCCTCCCGAAGCCACTTGTGTTTGTGTGGCTTGTCTGAAGGTGCATGGTGACAAGCATGCCTGACACATCTTCTTCTATTGCTTCCCACTGTGTGTCTGAAAGTCCCCCATGGAACCTGTAGCTAGACCAGCAAGGCCCCTAGGATCTTCCCGTCTCCACCCCTTAGTATTGGGGTCACAGGCACATGACACAATGCCCCACTTTTTCATGTCTTCTGGGGGTTCAAATTTAGGGCCTCTAGCTTTCACCGCAATCACTAAGGCAGCGAGCCATTTGCCCAGCCCTGCTTGTATTGTAAACTTTGACTGTACTGAAGCTTGCCGTTTCAAAGTCATATGGCAATCCTTCATTCCTCACCAACATAAGACTTTAATAAGTTAGTTTGGGCTTACTATACATCCGTTGTTTTCTTCAAGTGGGGCACCTGTAGTACAGACTCACATACTTACATGCATACGAAGAACGAGAGCTGAATGTGGGCCACGAATAGAATATTAAATTCTTAAAGCCATAGCCACATGAGACAAGGGAGCTATGTGAAGCCAAAAATTCCTCTTCCTTCTCCACGCCTGTCTATGTGGCATGCGAAAACAAATAAGAAAAGCAACGGTGGCTCGAGGAGTTCCGGCTGTGATGCTTTTTCACACACTCAACACATCTGCCAACCTTGCTGCTTCTCCTCTTGCTGTGACATCAGGGTCTCCTTGGTTGGAGCAAAGCCAGAGTCTTCCCAGGGAAGGTGTTCAGAGAAAGCCAGCACTTCTGTAACAAGCCCAACTCGGTCCTCTCCTCGTCAAGGGCGGGGCAGGGTTGCAGCATGATGCAACGTTAAACCTGAACTCACAAGGGCTTTATAATGTGCCCAAGAAGCCATGAGCCAAGTGAAGAGAGGGGCTGCTAGAGCCTCTGGTCTTCGGCAGCTGTCACCTGGAAACCATATGGGTGGCCCTGAGGGGGACAAATTATGCAGAGCTCACAAAACAAACATCGTCTTACCCATCTCAATTTGACACTGATAAAAAGCCGTTGAAGGGTTGGGACGATCAAAGAAACACATCCATTATGCCTACACACCTAGCCCCGAGCCTCCCAGTGACTTTTGGGTTGAGATCTATGCTTAACCCCACCCATTTCTGTCTGGGTGTTTACTCCTTAGCTGCCCAGAACCAAGGGAGTAAATTCACCCAGACTTGCCTCCAGTGGAACCGCCTTCTTGCTGGCTCTTAGGAAGGGCTTGTTCGAAGCACCAGCATAGTATCCCCCTTCGTGACAAAAAAGTGGATGCTCCTGGAAAGTGAATTCCTTTGCTACCAAGTTGGGTATCAAAAGGCACATTGTGTCCCTATTGTCACTTCTGAGAGAGGTAACTTCATCGAGTCTGATAAAGCCTCTGGCTCCTCCCTCAGCTGTGCCCCTCCTCCCATTCTTGACTTGCGCTGTTTCAGACACTTTCTAACACACAGCCAAGGCACAGCCCTAGGCTGGCTTCCTTAAACAGAAGTAAAGGGCAACCCTGAGAGGAAAACACTCGACTCAGCACTGGAGAGGTCACAAGATGGACAAGAGCACAGACAGGACTTGCTTTGGCCAGACACAATTTCCCTCAACCCGCTGCTGGAGGTGCTAATTCAAACAAGTCTGGCTGCCAACATCCACAGCGATCCATTCGGCTTTTGGGGACTTCAAAGCCAAGAATACCTGAACTCACGGTCTGTCACGAACATGTGGCCCATTTTGTGCCCACTCGTTGTTCTGCTCGTCATACATAGTTTAGTTCCTCTGCTTTTATCTAAGGAGGCCATAGCAACTTCTGGTAGGTGTCTTAGGGGACTGCTGGTGTTCCCAGAGGTGGACTGCCACCCTGATGTCATACAGAGTTTAGTTCCTCTGCTTTTATCTAAGGAGGCCATAGCAACTTCTGGCAGGTGTCTTAGGGGACTGCTGGTGTTCCCAGAGGTGGACTGCCACCCTGAGATTTATTATGCATGCCAGTCTCTGTTTCCTCTTATTTGTCTGCTTGGGCGGCCAAGATGGCACAGAGACAATGGCTCATTGAGAAGAAAAGTTTATTTCTCACTGTTCTAGAGAGTGAAGGTTCAAAATCAAGATGCCAGTAAGTAGATTTAATCGTGAGGTCTCTTCTGGCTTGGAGGAGGCTACCATCTGGCCTATGCACACAGGACCTCTGTTTTTTCATGTATGCATGGGGCGGGGAATGGGAAAGCAAGCTTTCTGACATCACTTCTGAAGGCCACTAATCCCACTAGGAAGGCTTCATCCTCATGACCTCATCTAGCCTTGTCTACCCCCCGAAAGACCTTATTTGTAAGAACTACCACACTAGGCTGATTGAGAAGGGCATGATGTTCTTCAGAGATATGAACTCCTGACAGCACAAAGGAGTGCAAGTATGCTAAGAGAAAGAAACCATACATAAAAGACTGCACGTAGTAAGATGCCTCAGTGGCTAAGGGCACTGCATTTGCTTGGGTTTGATTCCCACCTATGTCATGGCTCACATTGTCTGCAACCTGATTCCAGGGGATCTAGTACTTTCTGACCTGCTCTGGTACCAGATACACATGTAATAAATATCAAAATCTTCAAACAAGAGTACATTGAGTAGAAACCAGCTAGACACACTGCAAGACAGGCTCAGCGGCTTAGGAGGGAAGGGCTGCTGAGGATTATCCTTGCACTGACCTCTATCTGTGCTTGTTTGGTATCAACAACCCTGATTCGACTTTGGCTCTTCCTTACATTTTACCAAAAGGAGACTAATGACCTGAAAAGGGACATTAATTGCCTCAAGCTGAATAGAAACTCTCATGTAAAGCATTTGACCTATCTGAGAACTGCCAAGTTCTGGCTGGTTGTGTTCCTAGGACTCTTGAGCAGCTTGGTGTCCATTACTATGGGCTGAAGCCTCTTAAGACCTACACGCCCTTCACAGAATGGCTATGTGGTCTGTGGCTACTATAAATAACACTGAACATCTGCATAAAAACTATTGGATGATCACGTGGGTGAAATAGTGTTTCAGGTTTCAAGAAACTACCAAACTACTTTCCTGGCCGTATCATTTTACAGCCTCACCAGCAGTACCCAACAGTTCCACTTGTACCACTAACATTTGATCCATCATTTAAACATGAACCCTTTAAAAAATTTTAATATGTATTGGTGTTTTGCCTATATTATGTCTGCATACCAATTATGTGCCTGGTGCCCTTGGAGACCAGAAGAGAATATCAATCTGGAATTACAGATGGTT